CACCAAACTCTGGTAGTTCTGCTATCCAGTCTACAACAGATCGGTACCATGGAGCCACGATAAGGACGGAATGGACTTTGGAACGTAGTCTAGCACGTAGGTTGTCTTGAAAAGCAATCCAAAATGTGCCTTATCCTGATTGGCACTCACCAGATGGAGGTGACAGAGCGGGTCTGGCACCCATCAGGTTAGGCCTTCGCTGTTCTCCGATGCGCCATTTGGCCTTTAATATAACCCGCACGTACGAGCTAAACCAAGAAACTAAGTGAACGATGTTAAAATCTTCGTATCTTTAGCTGCCTATCGATGAATCGCAGCTAAGAATACGAATGGGACAAGTTTCCCCAAGATTTGTTCCACGATCTATGTGTACTGTTTTACTCCATAGACTTCGTGGGAAAATTTGAGTTGTCTTGAAAAGCAATCCAAAATGTGCCTTATCCTGATTGGCACTCACCAGATGGAGGTGACAGAGCGGGTCTGGCACCCATCAGGTTAGGCCTTCGCTGTTCTCCGATGCGCCATTTGGCCTTTAATATAACCCGCACGTACGAGCTAAACCAAGAAACTAAGTGAACGATGTTAAAATCTTCGTATCTTTAGCTGCCTATCGATGAATCGCAGCTAAGAATACGAATGGGACAAGTTTCCCCAAGATTTGTTCCACGATCTATGTGTACTGTTTTACTCCATAGACTTCGTGGGTCATAAAAATTTGAGATATTTTAAAATTTTCAAAGTAGAAAGTTTGTGCACAAGCTGCCTGTCGATTCAAGTTCCTTGTGTTCCATTAACCATCCAGATATGAGGAGAACTTTGTTGGCAAAGAAACAGTCTGTCCAGAAACTAATGGAATTATTCTATTTCTTCCGCACACCACAGGGAAGCTGACAATTCCGTATTGGTAAGACACTACCAGGCACTAAAGGAGAGCATACGAGTGGAAGAGGATAAATCGAAAGACCTTTCAGTCACATCACAGTAAGTATAATTGCGGAAGGGGAGTACACAGTTTGGCATTCACTGCTCGGTTCTTAGATGAACTGTCATTTACGTTTCATGATTACATGGATAAATAAAGATGTGGAATTAACTGTATAGCCGTTGCGGAGTGTGTTGAAAATGGATAGCGATCGTTGAAAGTGGCGCTGTTTGTCAAATTCGCAGCCTATTTCATTGAGTTAGGTTAACCTATGCTGAGTACTCACTTTTATGCATGGTCTATGCTGGATAAGTCTGATACTCTGCCTTCAAAAATGGCTTACTTGGCCAAAGATGATTCAGCCTCAACGCGCAAGCTTTGATGGAAAAGTACTAACTCGGTCTTGCCTAACTCTGGAAAATCGAACGTCAGTTAAGAGCCTACATTGCACCCACATCCTGCATGACCACTCTGGACTACATTTCAAGAACCTGTTTACATGAAAAGGAAAATACGGATCTAACTTGTCATTCTTGCGATGCAACCTCTTTCCTAGATATATTACTTCAAATGACTTGTGCGCCAGCTATCCTTTTATAACTTAGAAGACCTTACATTCTCACTTGCCACTTTGTGGGGCAACAGGATCCCACTAATCAATGTGGAGGAATGAATAGCCGTTAGGTCATGCAAAGAGCACAGTATATCCTCAAATTTTGCATGTTTGTCCACTAGGACATGGAATTAAGATATAGAACATATAGAATCTTATTGCAGTACGGTTTTCAGTCTTTCAGAGGGACGAAGTTCATAAAAGTACACCTTTCCGTAAATGGGAACTCATTTCCTTGACTTTGTTTAATTGATTTCAGGGATTTCGAGTTCGCCGGCTTCGAAAAGAAGGAGCAGGAGGCGATGTTGCAAGAACTGCACAGCCATATTGGTGAAGTTTATCGAACTTGTATTCAGAAGCCGGATGCATCTCTCAGGTAAAACGGAACGCACGAGTTCCCGGTTATCGTTCTCCACACTCTGGCCACCTGTGAAGGTTCCAACACTTTAGCGGACACCATAGTCATTGAGCGAATTAGACAGTAACGTACCAAATTTATGGCTATACGATATTCGCATGAGTTCCTAACGAATTTCTCGTTCGTAATGTTTGCGTTCGAATGGCTACTATAAAATTGAGACTATTATAAGCCCCCTTGGTCCCAAAAGTTGTTTCTGTTGTAGCCAACGGCTCGTTGTTTAACAACGCCAAAGACCACGCCAACCTGGTGAACAAAATTCGTAATGATTTGTTGGCGATTCTCGTACAACTTGCAGTGAAGAATTAAATTACGGTTAGTTGATGGTCAACTACCGGCCGCTCAGAGCTATCGAAATATTCGTTCACACACAGTCAGCGTGCAAGATAATTAAGAGACCAAAGTTATTTGCCCTGTAGTTTGGCTGAAGCTTCAAGTACATGGATTATTTTCGTGTGGCGAAGCAAAACTGCACGTTACCGCATGTTTTATCCAACGTGGAATGTTTGCGGATCATCGCCAACCTCAACAGCGTCATCTACATCACTGACGTCATCCTGCTGCTCATTGCCCACATCGGCGGAAACAGCAACGTCAGTAATGACGCTGATGCCTCACTGCAACAGAGCCACAAATTTTATTCAATATTCAAAGGATTGCAATAAAAAATGAAGGAAGTTGAAGGGGGATGAACCTGGCGTTAACCTACTGCAAGCGATCTGAGCTGCTTGCACCTTCAAACACCCAAAAAAACAGTGTAGCAACAAATTAGCACCGAAGCGACTGAAATGGAAGGCGGAAATGTGGTCCAGATAACTTAGGCAACTAGAACGGTCACCATTTTCCACGTGAACATCATTTGCTTGTATAACTCAGTCAAATATTACTACGTTTTAATACACTTGTCTGCGTTATGAATGAACTGCCAAACGTTCAGTTTCTCTAGACATCCATGTGACTGAGGTTCTAACTCACTCATCTGTATTTGGTACAACTGAAGAACGGGAAGACTCTTGAAAAATGATCAAGAACGGCTGGTGCGAGCGAATTTAAGCAAGCATCGGTTAGCTAAATGCAGGGAAGTATAGCAATCACGATATTGAATCTGAACGAAGACACCACGGATGGCTGTGTCAAACCTGTGAACATGAGTCGAGAACCATGTAGATTGCATACTCCGCCTGTGCTGTGATGCCCAATGGTAAAGAAAAACTAATTCTAGGTGATCCTGGAGGTCTGCTATTCCCGATTCAAACTTCACTACAATGACATCACATCTCGCTGTGACGGATCATACATGGTACGCATCAGCTGAGAAAAAAATGAGACTGTAGCTATAGAGACCAAATAAACCCTACCAAGCTATCTGATGCCTTTAGTTTAATTTGAGGTAAAGAGTTTGCCTTTTGTCGGATTAGTACAATGAGTAAATATCGTCTACCTGATACGGTTTTGATTCCGATTTCGGAAGCTCAACGTTTTGACAAGATAGTGCTCTGAAGCTGAAACTCTTCGCAGACCTTGGCATAATTACAAGGCAATAGTTCGGCAGTGTAGATCAAATCCAAATTGGGAACCGACTGGGCGATACCGTGCTGTGTATATGAAACATTAGGCTAGAATTCTTAGTGAATGACATGCCGTAATTGAGTTTCCCTGATAAATCTCAAAGACCATTAGTTACGAACAAGTACAAAAAGGATTTCCTTAGAGTGATAGAAGTTGTACTGATGAACGTAAGTCTCCGTTGTTCCTTTCTGCAACAACGTAATTATACGGTCAAAACTCAAATTCACATTGACATGAGCAATTAGTTTGTCAATAAGAAGCAGTCCGAAAAATTAATAACAAGATTATCTGTCAATAGGCGTCATAAGACATAGTTTGATTGATAACCTGCGAAAATATCTGCACTATCGAGTCAGGGATAAGCCAAGTGTAGTAAGCATATATCTGTGTTGGACGCAGAGAACATGGTTTCATGGCCTGTTTTCAGTTGACTCTGCTATAGCTAAGGCTTGCCTTCTACCTATCTTTATCTGGTTCTCTAAGAAATTGTACATGATTTTGAAGTCAGAATTCACGTCTTGGTCGAGTTTGTTCCCAGGACCTTTTCAAGCCATGCTGGATTGTACCGTCGAACCCGTTTGGCCAAGCACCCGGTTGATTGACCAACATACTCTGTAGGTGGACAAACACAGCCAAAAAAACTGCTCTCGCATAGAGAGCTTGTCTTTCCAATTGAGGTAGAGCACGGGTTGTCCAGTGGAATTGACTCCACTGAGTGACAGCTAGAGAGGGAACTAGCGTTTCAGAGTATGATGCCCCAGTTCGGCTACAAAGTTCTCCTAGAAATGGAGACGTATAAAGTTGCGTAAGGATACCCATAGCATGATGCCTATTGACCACACTTGATGTTGTCATCGATTTTCTAGACTAATCTTTATTTAAAAACCGATAGCGAACTTCAATTTGAGTTTTCTCTCATGACCGTGTAATTATAGTGACCGCGTGGAGAATTCCTGGAAATTTCGTTTGTCAACAAAACTGATGTGGTCATGAGCACAGACTTTGATGCATGCGTTCATAAAATCTATTCGCAACCGATTCCACCTTTCCACAAATATATAGTAACCGACGCTGCTAGACTTGTCCAGGCAATAGACGAGTGGCCCCATTTGAGTACCGAATGCGACCGGAACTTGCAGTACATTGGCAGCTCATAGGAACTATCATGGTCGATGATTTACTGGATTCCATTTGACATGGCTTTTGTTGGACTTCTAGGTGCCCCCATTTTCTAATTAAAAGATGGCCTCCTTAAAATGTAGTTGATGATCAATGGCTGTGGACTCACTGAGCCCATGTACACAGTGTTGTACACATAATCAGCGTTGTCAGTTTGCAAGGGTGGTGGGAGTCGTCAACTGGAAAACAGGCCCAACAGAGTACCATTTACTCATAGAAATTCGTGGCCTACGAAGTTGGCTTGATCATAACAGTTATAGTATGTCGGAATCTACTTCCTGTTGAACAGCTCACTTCAGCTACTGAACGAGATTGAGAGCAAAATGATCACCTTACTGCAGCGGATAAGCGAATTACCCGAAGATGCAGTCAAGGCAGCTCTACACGCAAAGGAGAGGAAGCACAGGCTGGACGTGAAAGAACGACGAAGGCAGGAACAGCAAAAGCATCAGGAAGAACGGTTACGAAAAACACTCGAACGAGCTCAAGCTGAACCGAAGATGATGGTAAGTTGTGTCCCCATTCAGGTGCCCCCTAAAAACGTCTGCCATTCCTGTTTTTGCGTAACCATATGGACAATGTGGCATTGCCAAAATGAGTCTGAAGCGCCTTATCATAAAAGCTCAAGACCGTCGGCTCAGCTAAATGCATTGATATGCAGAAACAGGATTATCGTTTTTCAAATAAAGCCACAACGATCAGCTCTCCATTATCTGAGGATGTTGATTACCACCAGATTGGATGTGGCGGTCCTCCATTAAGGGCCATCCATAGGACCTGTTGAAGTTGTCCGTTCTGAGGAGGAACATGTTTATTGGCGAAGATCGACCAAATCCCTAGTATAATCCAGCAGCCGAGTGAATCAGGGAACAATTAGTTATTTTCAAGGAATCTGGAACGTCTATTTATACTAACATTATTATCTCCCTATTTGAAATGCACTTCTCACACGATGGACAGTAAACATGGTCACTACTAGAGACTTGAATGCCCTAGTTGTTCGAACAATCTTATTAGTCGTGGCACGTGTCTCACACGCCAAGCACAGATACAGCTTGTTGAATGATAGCTGGGAGCTCGTGTATCACTGGGTACATCACTAACAGTCTTAAGATAAGTTATCACTTCCACTGCTCGCCTCTAGCTGGATAAATTGGTCAAACAGTGAGACAACTCATCAAGAGTGGTGTTCATCGGTTTGGGTAAAGAAAGGAAAAACAAAAAATCGATTTGCTCAATTTTGGAAATTTTCGTGGGCTCACATCGCAATGTTGAATTGAATCTTGCCATTGTGGAGATCCAGCGATAGTCCTTTTAACATCACCAAAGTCTCAGGCATTTTTCACCCGCCTTTACGAACCAAACTGTTGGACAGGCACAGCCTACTGGTGGTTTGTCACTGCCCTGGCCTAGTAGGCTGATCGGGAGCCGTCACGTGACTTTGGTAACGTGCATACTGTGGCACCTCACACAGTCACACACCAATGGATATATACACAGATTTCTCTTTGAATATTACTTTTCAAATATGGCTAATATAAGGACGAGAAAAAAGAATAGCACAAAAATAATCCTTCACTCAACAAACAGTAAACTCAGATACGGATTGTACAGTTACAAACAACGGCAATGAAGCTTTAGCAACAGATCTGATGGATTTTCATGCCAAACACGGAACTATCCTGGATTGGTAATTCTGCTCCTAACGAAGTTAAGTCGACCATTTGGTATTATCAACATGCTGGTAGTTGTTCCACACAGAGCAGTACACCCGAGTTTCTTCCTAAATCTGACCGTTTTTATGCGTATCACCAGTTGATTACTATTGTTAGAAATACTGTATGTGTTCTTTTTCGTGGTAAATCAGCACGGAAGAAAGATTGTGGCTCGTTCAGAACCCCCGAAGATGAGCAAAGACGATTCCAAAGATTTGGAAGCCCTCGCAAAAGAAGAGGAAGAAATGCGAGTTCTGTTCGGCTAGATAGGAATCTGTGCTTATGTGTGACCGGCAACCATCCAATGTCCACATTTTCGTTCATGTTCATTTTCAGTAACTAGAGATCCAGATCACGATTTTTGTAAGACACTCAACTTCGCGTGTTTTCCCCTTATCATACTTGAATACATTCAGTGATACACCGTAGTATTCCTTTAACGTTTCATTCGTGAGCAAAGTTGATGGGGTACCGAGGAGTGGCGTAATCTCATTCTAACGTAACGCGCTACCTTGCCAACAACCAGCTATCAACATAAATTAAGAACGAACTAAACCAGCTCCGTGATAAATTTCTCCATATATGCAACGAAATCCGGACAAAAGTGGAGGTCAGTGGGCAAGTATTCATAATAAAAGTTGGCAAGTGAATCCAATGAGTCGGTTAGTTAACCAAAGGTAGATTAAACTTCGTGGTCAGATACAATGTGGCCCAAAAATAATCACGGGCGGTATATCACACAGGATATTTTATTCAACATGCATCACCTGTGGCGAGGGCGTGACATCAGCTTGTCCGTCAAGGGTCGAAATTACAATGCTCCGGTGCGCTCAATTTTATTATACGGGTCAGAAACCTGCGCGCTCAGGACGTTAAACTCTACCAGTGTTTGACCATCGATGTCTTCAGAGCATTGCCCGAGTATGGTCGGAATGCCGGATCTGTATTGATGAAGTACGTCGAATAGTTTTCGGACGGGGATAACTCGTCTACGATAGATGAACTGATCGCACTCCATAGGTTACGCCGGCTTGGCCATTTTCTCCGTATGCCAGTCGACCGACTTCGTCGAAGGGCTCTTTTCGCACAACCACGCACAACCAGTCAAACAATGACTTGGTAGAGAAGTATGAAAGCCCTTACCAGTTAATTAAGTTGTGCTGGTCAATACCGCCTCCCTGGATGGGTACCCTGAGATGGACCACATCAATGGTTAGAGACATTATTAGATATGGCCCAGTCGCGCCCTCAGTGACGCTCATGCATCCAAACTATTGCCTTCAATGCATCGCTTCATTCCCAGATCTCCCTAATTAAGAGTCCACTGACAACTCTGTATTTGCGCAACAGTTACATCAGCCGCCGCCTCCACTGTGTAGTCGTCTACCCGTACCTCGGTAGATCGCCGGCGAACAAAACTGCGGCAGCCATATCCGTTGTGCAGCAATTACGCATTTTTTACAACTGTTAATAATGATGATCTACAAGAGTGTTTGCTCAACGGTGGTGAGAAAAGCTAATATAACCGATCTCGGTCGACAGGGACATTGAACCCGTGAGAAAAACAGACAGAGAGCACTGTCATGTTTTAATTACGTTTTCATTGTGAACAAACATCTTACTCATTCATATGTAACCGCAATGGGTTTTCCAACAGTATGGAATGCGGAATCTTTAGAAAAAACTGCCAGATAATTCCATAAGACTTTTTAAGCGGAGTTGCCAAAAGATTAGATGAAAATTCGGAACAAGAGTTTCTGACTCAGGAAGTAAGCATATCACCAGGTGTCCATACCAAAATGGTGAGGAATACCACTTAAATGCGTAGTTAGAACCGTTCCCATCCATCAACCATTGGTAAATGAAGGACCTGAACATCTGCAACCATGGTAATCCAGTACACCGTTTAGGGATAACAGAAACTGCACTGTAGTAAACGTATGCTGAATGAAGTACCATTGAAGGCGCCTTGATGATGGGCGCCTCCAGGTGGGACCTGCATTGCAAAACAATGTCGTATTACTCTCACTTTTAAAGAATGAACGGATGACGCCGGCGCCTTGACAAATAATTAATAAACGTTGCCGGTACCCATTGTTACTGCCATTAATTCTAGGCCGACTGATGATTCGCAGCAGGTCCTTGATCGTTCGCCCACCGATCTCACCCCCCATATCGATGCGTAAGGCGCCACATTCACGTTTCATAATATGTCCGAACGTCTAGTGCTTTGATCACCGTTGACCGGCAAATCTGATTCGGGAGCTGCAAAGCCATTCAGTGTCCCGGGATAATGTTACTAGTCGCCAGGTCCATCATCATCATCAGCAGCAGCAGCTTTAATAACCGCGTACTCGTCGTACAGTGGTTGTAGCTGCCGCAGTTTCGTTCACCGATGATTTTGGGGGGGAGGGTAGGTACAGTGGGCTGTCAAGTGGGGGGGTGGAAAATGATCTATGCATTGAAGGCAATAACTTTGATGCACGAGTGCCATTGAGGGCGCGACTGGGTCATATCTGACAATGTCTCTAGCCATTGATATGGCCCGTCTCGGGGTCCCCATCCAGGTAGACGGCAGTGACCAGCGCAGCTGAGTTTGCGGCTAATGGCTTTCATGCTTCGCCGCCAAGTCATTGTTTGACCGCCTCTGGCTTTCTTCCACCCTTCACGTGGTTGTGCGAAAAGAGCCCTTCGAGGAAGTCGGTCGACTGGCATACGCAGCACGTGGCCAAGCCAGCGCAACCTATGCAGTGTGAGCAGTTCATCTATCGAGGGTGAGTTATTTCTCCCAAATACCATTCGATGTACTTCAGAATTGCTGATCCGGTGTTCCCACCAGATTCGGGCAATGCTCCGAAGACATCGATGGTCAAACACTGAAAGTCTTTTGACGTCCTCGGCGCGCAGTGGCCAGGTTTCTGATCCAT